ACCAAGGTGCTTTCTGATAGTGTCACCATACTCATTAAACATAGAGACCTCTATGTGTCATCCGTTTGATTCTAATAATTTCCAAGTGTTAAGTTGGTTAACTGTTCTAGCGTTTGAGCCATAAATCACTGAAACAATCTCATGATGAAAGAATTGATTGCGTTCTCATGATTATTTGTGATCATAGAAACTGTTTTCCAGAAATCCTTTAATCTTTCTCTGATTTATTTTGTTTCATTTGTAGGCACACAGGTTGGAGAGGACTTGATGAAGGCATCGTTGTAGTTGGGACTTGCATGATTTAAAAGCCACAATGGCTGGTTGCATGTCAACCCCATCCAAAACAATTAAACTACGGAAAAAACACTCTCAGCGGGTCGTCAAACGCCATAGAAAGGCAACCTGCTCCGCCTCAGATGGTACCAAGAAAATAAATACCAGTTTCAAGAAAATAAATAGTGATGCAGGAGGTCGCGTGAGTGACTATGCTGTCAATGAGTTTGTTCATGTGGACTTTGAGAATGGTGCAACAACTACTCACAGAAGATCTAAGGTTTCTAATTCAACATTCCATTTCACCCAGCTGCAATGACACCACAGTCAATATGATTCGAATGGTGTGTGCTTTCTTTCCTCAGATTTCAACTATCTTTCAATTTCAACCAATATGCTGACAAGAAAATTCATAGCTCTTGAATCTCATATTTTGAAAGTTATTCATTTGCAGTAATTTTCCAAGAGGAAGCTTGGTTTGACTCGGTGAGTATTCTGGAGTCTGACTCGGAGGATGACTTTATCAGTATACATGGAGGTATTGGCCATCAGCCTGTAACTACATATTACAGAATGAAAGCCTTGTGGTCTTGTTTGATTGCAAAACGTCATTACTACTGAAGTAATTTTTCTTGAGCTACTTATTGGAAAAGGATTTTGTTTTGTTTTCTTAATTTTCTTCTCTTATTCTACAGATGGTTTTCCATTAGCAAGCAATCCAGTTCGGAATATCTCAAGTGGCCAAGTACTTCAGTACGAAAGATCTGCTCGCTTTGTTGATAACGGGTGTAAGTATGAAGAATAACGAAGCTATATGAAAATTGATGGAGGTAAATCACATAAAATCACAGACAAAGATGGGCGCAAGGAATCAAATCGGTTTTCGCTTATTAATACCCAGGGCTATGAGCTTTTTTACTTAGGGAAGGCTGATGAAGTTTGCAGTAAGATGAAGAATATTAGATGACTCTTATGGAAGCTTTAAAGGACTTACAGAGGATGGACGTGATTCTAATGAAAAAATTCGAGACAATGCCCTGAAATCCGGCTTATCTCGATTGGTACCTTCTGTAAGTTTCAAAGATAAGATTCTAAGTGCACAGAGTTTGGTTCCACAGTCCCAGAGAAAGCCATCAGCCGTTTTCATACTTTCCTTTAAAAGGAGATCCTGTGACGCATAACAAACCATTGAACAATGTAAGCATTCAAATAATTCAATTTTCTTTGAATAGAAAGAAAACTTAGAATATTGGGATTGATGTACATGTATATTATTGAACATTTCAATGATGTATCCACAGGTCAATCAAAAAGGTTTCTGTATCGGCCTAGACCAGGATATATCATTCCATGTTGTAGAGTAGAGAAGCCGACTTCAGGATCTTGGTTTGAGATTCCACCCTCAACTTTTAAATTCCGTGGCCAGAACTATTTCAAGTATGACTTTGGTTTTTTCTTTTGTCAATACCAACCTTAACTGAATTTCGACATTTGCAACTAATTACTCTGTTCTGCCTTGCTAATGATAATATTATTTTCTGTTGGTCTACCATCCAGAGATAACGAAAGTCAACTGCTCCGAAATACAGTCCATATACTCCAATAGTTGTTGATGTGTCAGTATGCCCCAAAAAGATACATCACATTGCCCAGCATCCTGAGCTTCCCAAAGTGAAAGCAAATGGGAAGTGTTCATTGTAAAGATACAGGTATTTTTTCAGAATTGATTTATCTTGTTATGTTTTGTTTGTTATATTTGGTCAATATCTAATGATATTGCTTTGCGCCTTGTTGCAGTTGCCTACTTATCCTGCTGCAATGTTTCTTGGTGATAGTGATGGAGAGGGGATGAGTCTTGTAATGTATTTCAAAGTTTCTGAGAATTTTGATAAAGACATCCCTCCTCAATTCCAGGACAGTATCATGGTAACTTCATTTTGTATGCAACTTCATCCATTTGGATAGGCATGTACTTTATTTTGATGGAAATGTGATCTTCTTATGTTCAGTTAGAACACTCAGTCTGTTGATATATTTGAATGATGCTTTTAGAAAACGGTTGACAATGAGACAGAAAAAGTTAAAGGATTTGCAAGGGACTCCACTGTACCTTTTAGAGAAAGACTAAAGATCTTGGCTGGGGTGGTAAATCCTGAGGATATCGGTCGGAGTTCTGCTGAGAAGAAGCTTGTACATGAATATAATGAAAAACCAATTCTTTCTTGCCCCCAGCACAATTTTTACAAGGTAAACATTGAACATTTATGTTGCTGAGTGTTAAGAAGATGAAACAGAAAAACCATGTTGTTTGACTTTATCAAGCTCTCTCACATGCAGGGTCCTAACTACTTTGAGATTGATCTGGACATTCATCACTTCAACTACATATCAAGGAAGGGTCCCGAATTGTTTTATGAACGTCTTAAAAAACGGAATAGCCGAGCGGCGATGCTATCTTCTAAAATGCTCTATTTATGGAGTATAGCCAGGCTATACTCTCTTTTTTTTTGGGGTGTTTGTTTTTTTTTTTTTCCCCCCCCCCCCCCCCTTTTTTTTTTTTTTTTTTTTTTTTTTTTTTTTTTTTTTTTTTTTTTTTAAAACCCCCCGGGGGGGGGGGGGGGGGGGGTTTAAAAAAAAAAAATTTTTTTTTTTTTTTTTTTTTTTTTAAAAAAAAAAAAAAAACCCCCCCCCGGGGGGGTTTTTTTTTTTTTTTTAAAAAAAAAAAAAAAAAAAAAAAAAAAAAAAAAAAAAAAAAAAAAAAAAAAAAAAAAAAAAAAAAAAAAAAAAAAAAAAAAAAAAAAAAAAAAAAAAAAAAAAAAAAAAAAAAAAAAAAAAAAAAAAAAAAAAAAAAAAAAAAAAAAAAAAAAAAAAATTATAGCCACACAGCTGTTCTTTTAAATATTCTGTTTATAGAGTATACCCGAGCGGCTAGGCTGTTAAAATATTCTTTTTTACGCGTATAGCCGATCGGCTATACTCTTTAAATATAACTATAAAAATCTAGATTTCTCTGTAGCAAAGCTGAGCCTTGAGATAATGAATCAATTAGACATGGTATGTATTTACGTTCTAACTTTGTTCCTCTGTGGGGGCTTAGGGTTTAGAGAAAATTTATGCCTTGTTTGTGTGTTGCATGTGTATGAGAAGTGATATAATGATGTTGCTCATCTTTTTAGGTGCCCTTTGTCATATTTCCTAAATAGATTCGAATATTTAAACGGTATAGTGGTGCGTCTATATTCGAATAATAATATAATTACTAATTGAAGTAATTAGAAAAGGCTAAGATATTACTTAAAGACATATATATATATATTAAATTAAAGAAGTTGGGCAAAAAATAAAAGCAAAGAAACTAATCTATTTGCCGGATTAGACCTCTCCCGAGGAAAGTTTCCTATACCAACAAAATGTCGTCGGGAGAGGTTTAATCCGGCAAAATTGCATCGAGATAGACATGTGCTGACCAAAGTTCGTCGGCAGAGGTTTTTTTTAATAAATAATTAGTATCTTTAGGTCAGTACATTTTTATTTTAAATTTTTTTTTAGTAATTCAATAAAATCTTACCCTTATTTAATTACTTTCATTAGTAATTATGTTTTAATCATTATTTATTTTGTGAATAGTATTAAATATTTTAATTAACTTCATAAATATATTACTTAATAAATAGTAATTGTTTTTTTTAAAATTTTTTTCTTGAATAAAATACTTAAATACTAATTATTCACTGAGTAATTAATGATCAAAACATAACTACAAAATAAAGTAATTAAAAAAGAGAAATTCAAATTATGATATTTCACGGCTATACGTTTAAAATATTATGTTAATGGAGCCTTACGAAAACAAATTTATGTCCGAAGTGCTAAATTGAATCAATAAATTTGTGATCATGAAAATACTTTAGTAATTCACTGAGTCACTTGAGAAGTTATTTTGTTCCTTGTGTACATATCCACATGACATGTTGATGTGATTTATCAAAATTTTCTCAAATTATTATAATTCGTGCACAATAGTTATAAAATCCAAATTTTATACAAAAAGAAGGAACAATAAGAGAAAAAAATCATAGCCAAAGGTGGTTCATATGGTAGATCCAAAGAATCATATGAAGATGAATCCATTCTCGTAGAAAGGTTAGAATGGTGGTTTATATTTTATGGAAAATAGTATAGCCGGTCGGCTATTCCTGGTATTTTCTTAATTTTTTTTAAAATAATATAGCCGTGCGGCTATAATTGGTTTTTTAAAAAATATTCTGGCGAATTGGACTCGAACTCATCACTACGAACTTCGAGGGCACAGAGCAAGCCCGTTCCAGGTTTTGTGCAGTGTTCGAAATATCGGCCTAGGCGCTGGGAGGGAGGACACCGATACCAGGGAGTTAGGGGGGGCCTAGACGGCCTTGGAGGATCTAGGCGGCGCCTAGGCGGCCTGGGAGGATCTAGGCGGCCTAGGCGGCTGGGAAGATCTAGGCCTTCCTGGGCGGGTCCGGGCGCCAGGGCGGGTGGGTCGTGTCCTTTTTTTTTCCAAATGAAGACAGACGAAGCTTGCTGGTGCGAAGGAGCAAAGGTGACATGTATAGGGTACTCGTCACAATCAATATCATACACTGTGACCTCCTGGTTCTTTATGCCTAGTTTACGAAATTCATCAGCCTCCAACAATGGCAAGATGTGGCTTTCCACATCTTTTTTGCACATGTACAACGTAGTTCGTGTCACTCACTATATGCCAACTGCTTCTCAAAACGCTTGCTGCACCTTGTGATCTTGTTTTGGTGGCTTGGGGGGACGTCAGGAGGGGCATGGCCTCCTTGTTCTACTTGTTGCGGTTGTTGAGGCAGAGGCATGTCCTGTGCTGCCATGACTGCATGTTCTTGGGCTGCAGATTCGTGAAACTGAGGTGAGACTTGGAGGCTCCAACTTTGTTCAAGTTCTTGTTGTTGTTCAGGCATGCCCTGTGCTGCAATGACTTCTTGGGCATGTTGGGTTCCACGTTTTTGTAATTGAGCAAATTCTTGGGGATAAGAAGGGACATACTTGTTAATTCCAGAGGAGGAGCCTTGTACTAGTTGTGCTGGTGCAGCAACTTCAGTTTCTTGAAACTGACCAAACTCTTGGAGGCCTTGGACTGATTGCGGATAATAAGAAGGGTTAATTCCAGAGGAAGAGCCTTGTTCTAGTTGTTGTTCTGGTGCAGCAACTCCAGTTTCTTGAAACTGACCAAACTCTTGGAGGCCTTGGACTGATTTTTGATAACAAGGGTTAATTCCAGAGGAAGAGCCTTGTTCTAGTTGTTGTTCTGGTGCAGCAACTTGCTGTGGTTCAATTTCTTGAAACAGTGCTGCAAAATCTTCATTTTCTTGCTGTGGTTCAATTTCTTAAAGTGCTGCAAAATCTTCATTTTCTTGCTGTGGTTCCATTTCTTGAAAAAGTGCTGCCAAATCTTCATATTCTGGCGCAGCAACTTGCTGTGGTTGTTCTTGTGGAGCAATGGCTTCAACTAAGGGCTTCAACTTCAGTTTCTTGAAAAACTGATCTGAAATATTCTCGCATTTGTTGATTTGAAAGAATTTCTTCTTGCCTTTGCAATTCTCTTTCCGCATCTTCTGCATGCTCTACATTGGGAACAGCTGCTGGAACTTCATTTCGGGGGGTCTTCATTATGATCATCAGCCATGCCTGATAGACTGATAGTGTTGTTTTCTTTCACAATGGTGCTTCTGATCGCAAGAGAAAAAGTGTTTCTTTGGGAGACTAATTTGGTTCAAGAGAAATGGGAAATGGGAAATGGATTTTCTAGACAGTTCAAGAGATTTCTAGATAATGGAGCCCAAATTACATATTAGTCTCCGGACTAAATCTGTTATAACTAACTAACAACCTGTATAATATACTTTGACTGAAGGAGACTATTACTGACTTGTAAATTTAACCATCTTGCTGGGGTAAAATATATTAATTACAGTAGACATAAGCCAGTTTGAGTTTTAGGCTCTTGGAACATACATACGAACAATAATGAAACCAAAAGCAATATATCTTTGCCATAATACTCCTAGCAAAATGAACACCTGCAACCTTCATGAATTCCTGCTTCCGAACCAGTCCAAGATCATGACATTAAATTTTCCAGCCTCCAGTGAGGACATGAATCTTGGTGACCTAAGTCTTGTCAGCCATGTCATAAGTTTTTACATGGATCGAACTTATGAAGGCGCAGTATATCAACACAAGTGCGTACATGTTGAAAGTAATCCAATGGTTCTTCAACTGTGAGGTCATAGACGTTTTCAGATATTGCAACATCATTGAGAACCTCAAGAAGGTATTGTCCATAACCCTTGTGTTGATAAGGAAGCAGTACCAATATCTGCCATCAACAAGCAGGCTTGTTAAAACTCAACAGCACCAAGATTGCACAAAAAATGAAATTTATTTGAACTAGAGCATGCATAAATAGCAACTGATATATACAACGAGCAAACCTGACCAATCCGCAACCGAGAACTATCAGGATAATGGTAAAAACGATATACAGCTGTAAAACCAAGCAACCTATTATATATTTCCCCCTGCTGATCTGTTTTCCTCTGGATCAGGACATACAACTCCCAGCTTGGATCCACAACATCAAATGGACTGCTACCTAATTCAAAAAACAACAATTGATGTCATATTCTTACACTCCCCCTTCCCATCTTTTCTCCATAAAAGTAAGAAAATAACAGTGTGTTCTCTGATGACGTGAGATAGGTGATAAAATTACCAACAATAAGAAGAAGAACAAGAGGAATCAAGTGATGGTAAAGCTGTCCAGCAGCTGTCTTGCTCACAACCAAGCGAACAACCTGAAGTTGGCTGTAGTACAGTACTTCCACGCGGCTATACTAGGTTTTTTTCCTAATTTTATTTTAAAAAGCATACAGCCGCTCGGCGATACTCGGGTTTTAAAATATTCTGGTGAATCGGACTTGAACTCATGACTACGAACGTCTAGGCACAGAGCAAGCCCGTTCCAGGTTTTGAGCAGTGTTCAAAATATTGGCCTAGGCGCTAGGCGGGAGGACACCGACACTAGGGAGTTAGGGGGGGCTAGGCGGACTGGGCGGATCTAGGCAGTGCCTAGGTGGCCCGCGCGGGTCTGGGCGCCAGGGCGGGTCGTGTCCTTTTTTTCTTCCAAATGCAGACAGACGAAGCTTGCTGGTGCGAAGGAGCAAAGGTGACATGTATATAGTGTGTGAGGAGGAGGAAAGTGTTGAATCTGTGTCTAATGTTTGAGGATTTTAGTTTTGTTATATGAGCAAGGAAAGAATCGTTTATGAAAAACGGTATATGGAGAAGAGAAAGAGCAGATGAAATGAAGAATGTTCAGTATATTTCTCTTGATGCAAATGAGCACAAACACACACTCAAATACATGACACATACTGCCAAAATAGCTCAGAGCCTAAATTTTAGGTACCAAGGACTCATCTCCAGCCATACATAATCATTGGAGGCTACGATCCTTACACCTAGGCTAGAATTGGTTATCAAGCAAGGTACAGCTGAAAAAGATAGGAATTACAGCTGTAGGAATTTTCCCAAAAAGGAAATAAAACTAGCCGTTAGACAGCTAAGCTAACAGCTAATACTAAAACTAGGAAGTTCCCAAGTTCTTCGATTTCTTCATTCTCTTCATTATCAATCTGCAGGATTGTCATCTGCAGCTTGATTTAAGCTTAGTATGCAGCTTAATTCTCAACAGAAAGGTCACATAAAATAAGGAAAGGCGTAAGAAATGAGGGGTTTGTTTCGTGTGAAATAAAAGGAAGAGATAGAAAACTGTGTTTCTGTTGTTGAGAGAGTGAGAATTGGGAAGCAAATGAAGAGGGAATGAGAGATTTATAATTCCTGGTGGTCTTGGTTGGGGTAAGATGATTTCTGTTCAAGCCCTGAAGCTGAAAGAACCTCCTGCACTGATATTTTCTTTGTCAATAGCTCTTGAAGCTGTTGCTTTGTTATGAAGATCTTAATCCTTCTTGTAGCAGCCCTGTCCTTTTCTGTAACATCCACAGATGAAATAATACCTGCACTGATCGCATCACTTGCAACAGAACCCAGAAGAGGAATCATATAGTAAACCTTCCCAAGCTTCAGTTTGTAATTAGGAGGGAGAAGCTCTGAGGCTTGCTTTGATACACTAATACCAGAGCCCGAAAAGTTCATCAACATGTCCTTAACAAAAGTTGGTGCCCTGAATTCTAAAACTTTCCCATCTGTCTTCACAACCCTCAAAACTTTCTCCTGCTTGGAGAGAACAAAACAGTTGACCATTTTTCTTCAGAACTAGAGACAAGCTATATATGTGTATATAGTTATAGTTCTAGCTAGTACTGGGATAATGGAGCCAATTGGGAGATATGTGTAGCTCTGAAAAGGTGATCCTATAACTTGCTTCAAGAGAGAGAGAGAGAGAGAGAGAGGATTTGTAGTTATAACTTATATTAACTATTGCTGGTGCGAAGGAGCAAACGTGACATGTATAGTGTGTGAGAAGGAGGAAAGGTGAAATAAAATAAGGAAAGGCAAAAGTAATGAGGGGTTTGTTTCGTGTGAAATGAAAGGAAGAGATAGAAAACTGTCTTTCTGTTGTTGAGAGAGTGAGAATCGGGAGGCAAATGAAGAGGGAATGAGAGATTTATAATTCCTGGTGGTCTTGGTTAGGGTAAAGAAAAGGAAAAGATAAATTAGTCGTCAACATGCATGCAGGGAGAGGTCGGTTAGTGGAGGGAGGTGGATTGGCATTGCTCACCCATGCCTTTCTGCTTTATTGATTTCTTTCTGGTACTAAAAGCCTACTGTTACTGTCTAATAAAGTCACATAGAAAATTCTTACATTTTCTCCTCTGCAACTACATGCCTATAAACTTTTTTATTTATTTAAATATTTTGACTGTACAAATGGCATAGCACTGTAGGGTGGACACTACTTTAGACCTTGTGAATGAGTTTGATATTGAAGAGGTAATAGTATGGGCCAATGAAATCTTCTTCAACAGATTCAAAGAAAATTTTGGTTGAAATTTTGTACACCTTATTTTGGAGGCTTGTAGTGTAGATATGCATCATCCTTATGGCTTTGATGATGTCAAAAGAAGCATATTGTTCCAATTCTGGAATGAAGAGGGAGACAGCTTCAACTAGTTTTAGCCTTTTAATTAATTAGTTACTGGCAAAAGAGAGATAAAACAATAATTAAATAAAGGAGGTTAGGTGGGACTTAACTGAGCCCAAGAGAAACATCTCATTTTTGGGGTCTCCACTGAGGGAAGGTCATTATAACATAGGAGAGAAAGAAAGATGGAAAAAGAAGTGAAATCAGAAGACAAAGATCCCCGGCTGACACAAAAGCACACCTCTAATGATTAGTTTATTGAAGATGTCTATTTTTGGTAATTAGTTTATTGAAGATGTTGGCTTACAATAAAATAGGTCATTTAAATGAAGACCTAACCCAGCAAGCTGGCCCTTAGATTTGGCCTTCTCTCAGTGGTCCATTTTAAACTAGTTGATGTAGTCTCTCTGGCTCTGCTAGATTGAACTGAACTCTTTGAGATGATAAGATAGAGGGCTCTTGGAAGTGAAAACAAAGCTAGCTAGGCTGCAGTGCAGATGCCCTTTTGTTGCTGATGGAGGTAAGAGGTAATTGATCCCATCCCATGAACAACAACTTACAACTTACAAGTTAGAAGTTAGAGAAGGAGACAAATGGAACCATTTAATTCTTTCTATCTGCAGCAGCATAGTGTGTCCCTTCAGTTTTGTCTTGGTTGGTTTCAATTTCAAACAAGTTCAATGAATCCAAGCCAACAGTTACAGACTCACAGCATGAGGAGGGCTAAGACTTGCTTCTTCTTGTTTGACGTTTAAAGAGAGACACACCAGAGACAGACACAGAGAGACGTTTTGCCCCTTTTTTTGGTTGTTGGAGAAATAACAGTATAGCCGGGCGGCTATACTACTTAAATATATTCGAATATTTTAACAGTACGGCCGAGTGTACTCTAAATATATATTTTAAAAGTATAGCGGTGCGGCTATACTCATTAAAAATTGAATTTGAAAAAGGTATGGCCGCGCGGATATACTCGTTAAAACAAAATAAAAATTAGTATAGCCGATCGGCTATACTCGTATAAAATTAAAAAAAATAAAAATATATAGCCGCTCGGCTATAAGCTTTAAAAATTAAAAATAATTAAAATAGAGCCGGGGCTATACTCGTCAAAAAATAAATATAATAAGGGTATAGCCATGGGTCTCCAGTATCAATGGGAGTTGACTTCGGGGTAGGCCAGTCTACAGTTTCTCAGGTGACTTGGAGATTCATTGAAGCATTGGAAGAACGTGCCAAGCACCATCTCAAGTGGCCTGATTCCAACAGAATGGTAGCTAAAGGGTTCACTCAGACATATGAAGTTAACTATCATGATACTTTTGCACCTGTGGCTAAGATGAATACTGTCAGAGTTTTGTTGTCCTTAGCAGTTAACTTGGATTGGACTCTGAGGCAATTTGATATAAAAATACATTCTTACATGGTGAACTAGAAGAAGAAGTGTACATGAGT